ACAGACAAGTTGCTGTCGTTTTGTTCTTCAGTCTAGTTGTGGAGGACGTTGTTTCACTGGCCCAAGTTGGCACCATCATTGTGCTCTTCCCGGGCAAGGCAGATCAGTTGCCGGCTTCTGGATGGCCACTCCCGGCGGCTGCTGGCTGCTCACGCTGGCTGCTGGCTACACACGGTAGCCCATGGCAACCCACTGTCACAGGGGCTGCAGCCTACGCTGTTGCTGGCGACTCATGGCAGCCCAGTTCCAGGTTGAGCTGTTGTTCAGCATCTTAACTGTGGAGGGCAGTGTCACTGGCCCTCATATGTGGGATCTGAACTGGGGCCCTCTGGCGTTCCAAGCCAGATCTTAACCATCGTGCCACTCGGCCAGCCCCTGGCTACTGTTTTGAAAGATACTTTACCAGGTTTTTTTTTTTTTAATTTTGATGTAATATACCAAGGACAGGCCTCAGTCATTGTCAACAATTTCTTCTTCTGTGTCTGCCATAAGTCTTAGATCAATTCAGCAAGAAGAGGAATATGATTTAGAAGAAGTAGAAAAAAAGCTCACCCTATTTTAATCCTGAAAAAAAACATAGAAAGAAGAAATACTTTGCTGAAAAATATAGCAACAGCAGGAATTTCTCCTCTAACTACCTACTTAAACCACTGGCAGGAGGTGACTTTGCAGGGTATTTCATAATTAACCTAGAGCAAAGTGTGATCAGGGAGAGAGGAGATTTAAGATGTATCTATTTCAGGCTGATTTTGCTTCCTGTATGAATTAGAAGTAAACTGAGAGCCAGAAAACTCACCGTGATTTTGTCTTGATGTGGTGAGGTGATAGCATACCTGCCATATAGCAGTGGCTGGCAGCTCAAGAGTGCTGAGGAGAAGGTAAGTCCTCAATAAGAACATGGCTGAGAGGTCTTCAGTACCTAAACCAAAAGAATAGAAAGTGATTTCACCTGCAGGGTGTGTACTGAGAAAGTACAAAAGCATTATTGCCCTGGGGGCCAGTAGGTGCCTTTACACACCCAATCACCAACACAAAGTCCCTTTATCCTCAGGTGTACAAAGACACAAAACCTCACCCCATCGTTTGTTTATATAGGATGATAGTAATTTTAGGGGTGAGGAGATGATTTGAGAAATTGAAAAGTTTTATTCCAAACTAAACAAACACTAAACAATACTTTAAATAATTGGATTGATCTTGACAGAAGCATTTGGGTAGTCACTCCTCTTCCCCTCTGCCACATACACACAGTTCAAAAGTTGGGATTAAGGAGAAATATTCACACATTAAATATAGCAAAAATAAAGTACATCCACACTATAGAATGAGTTGAAATTCACACGTTTTCTTCATATGTATTTGCTTTCCTTAAATTTCTGTTGATAATGTGTGGTGTAGGCTGCCACACCTTAAATTTGTTGAAACATTTCATTAGTAATAGGATCAGGGATTTAATTCCAATGTCAACCAATTTGCCATTTGACTTTCTAGACTTGAACTGTTCCTAAAAGCCATCAGGCAAAAGCATGCCATTGTAGAAAATGTAATAGAAAGACTGTGAGGATAGATCACCTCTGCTCTTTACTAACATGAGGACTACAATGAAAGAAAGAATCTTATTTGGTGAGACGTTTAGAGCAAATAGTGTTTTTATTCAAACCTTTTATACAAAACTTAGTGAAGCCCCAAAGTTTTATTGTTTTTGTTTAAATTATATTTATTCATTCTTAGTTAAAACCTAAATTCTTGTGTCAGATGTACAGAACAGTTATAATACAGAAGATATGCACAAAGCAAAGATCTCAATCACTGAAAGTATAATGTATTTTTCTATGTTCCAGCTTCTCTTTTTTCAAAGAAATTCTCCTCAATTATGTATTTAGGACTCCTAGTTTTGAATAGAGCCTACCTTCTAATCACTTTGTGAATTGCAATTAGTTGCTGCAGTTTGGTACCCCAGGATTCACCTTTCTCTTTACAGAGAGATTAAGGGAAGCTATAGTCATTAAAGAAAATCAGACCTTATTGAGACTTTATAATCTGAAGTTCTGAAAGGGCATTAAAAAGGGAAATCTTTAAAGAAAGTATGGATAATTGTCTTAAATATTTTATGCAAAAAACCCCAAAATTTCATGACTTTGCTTATTTGAGTGGTTCTATGACTCTCAGCAGATCTTCTGTATTAAAATATTACTATTATTATTATTATTATTATTATTATTATTATTATTTACTATTTAGAATGATGGTAGACATTTGGCTTTCCAAAACTCTATATCCAAATTTAGGAAATGGAGAGCCATGTGGTAAAGTAGTGTTATTCCAGGGCACAGAAAAAGTGGATAATTTAACATGGCAATAGTGATTCTGATTCTGGAAATTATATCATTCGACTTAGTATGAGGCATCTGCAGATTTGAAGGCTAATAACAATCAACTAAAACATTCTTATAAAATTTCACCATCTACAAAATGCTTTCACAATTTCTAAATGAAAAGGCAACATAAATATCCTGAATCTTACTTATTAATGATAAATTGCCCTTTAGAATTCTGGTCAAGATGACGGAGTATGTAAACATTGTGCTCACCCACTCTAAGGACCACATCAATTACAACTAAACTACAGAACAACCATCAATGAGAATCACCTGAAGTCTTGCTGCACTGAAGCCCTACAACTACAGACATACAGAAGAAGCCACCTCAAGACTAGTAGGAGGGGCAGAGATGTGGAACAGGCTGGTCCCTCACCTGTGCATAATCATTCAAAATCGGGAGGGATACCTCAGCTGCGAGGTAGCCCCAGGAGGACTGAAGGGTCTCATCCTCAGGCTCCCTCCCAGGGTTCCAGTGCCGGAGACAGAAATCTCCAGAACTTCTGGTTGTAAAAACCAGTGGTACTGTGGCTGAGTGAGATGTAGGGCAGCTGCACTCCCAGATGTCCTCTTAAAGGAACCACACATGGACTTACTTGCTGTTGAACTCACTCACTCTGAACTCCAGTGCTGGGTCAATGGCTTGAATGGTGCCAGGGAAATATGGGGATGAACTGAATTGTCTGGCTTCAAGGTGAGGGTTGGAAGGGCAACTTTCTCACAGCCATAGTTTCTTTGATGAGCTCTCCCTGCTCCCTGTGTGCAGACCCAGGCAGACACCATATCTGAGTCTACATCAAACTGGCTATCACCTTTCATCTGCCTCCCCCTCCCCCGCTTAGTAATTCTCAGAAACTCTACCCTACCCAACTTTTAGGCACAACTGAGTAACTTCCAGTGGCTTTTCTGTACAAACAACCTGTCTCAGCTCGTACTGCAGACTTTCATAAAATCTCTCAAATGTTCACAAAACCCAAATAAGCAGCGTTTGGTTTCAGCATGTCCTGTACCTCTGACTGAGTAGTCCTCAGCCCAGCACTAGTGACAGCCAGCCTCAGGTTGCAGATTGTCCTCTCAAGGCACCACTAAGTCCATTGCGAGTGGTGGCAATCTGTGGATTGACTTGTGGCTCATACCAGCAGGACCTGGGCAGAGCACAGGCTGCAGCTAAACTTGGCCTGCAGTGGGTCCCCTTCCAGGAGGCCCTAGGGCTGACACACCAGACAGCCAGCTTCAGATCAAGCTGGAGCATAGCCTGGCTGCCTCCAACGGTGCAAACTCAAAGAGCAGACTGGGCAGGGACCAGAGACCCACTGCAACAAACCTTGCTCTGTAGGGTCAGCCGTTGCGCAACAGCTCCTTCACTGTAGTCACAGCCAGTCCTCACAACCAGTTAGCCTGAGAGTCAGTCCCTCTCATTGATGTGCAAACAGCAACCAAGGCTCAATTAAAACAGAGGCCATACAGAACACATACAAGGGACACACTGGAAGTGTCTGACTCTGGTGACCAGGGAGACTGCACCACTAGGTCCCACAGGACACTTACCACATAAGGCCACTATAATAAGGCTGGGAGGCACAGCAGCCCTACCTAATACACAGAAACAAACACAGGAGGCAGCCACAACGAGGAGACAAAGAAACATGTCTCAAATAAAAGAACAGAACAAAGCTCCAGAGAAAGAACTAAAGAAAATGGAGACAAGCATCTACTAGACGCAGAGTTCCAAACAACGGTTGTTAGGATGCTCAATGATCTCAGGGAGAACCTCGTAAAAGAGAAAGGAAACAAAAAAGAACCAATCAGAAATAAAGAATACAATAACCAAAATGAAGAATATAGTAGAGGGAATCTACAGTGGATTAGATGAAGCAGAGGATCAGATCAGTGATTTAGAAGTAAGGTAGCAGAAAACACTGAATCAGAACAGAAAATAAATAAATAAATAAAAATCCAAAAAAAATGAGGAGAGTTTAAAATGCCTCTGGAACAACATCAAATGTACCAACATTCACATTATGGGAGTACCAGAAGTAGAAGAGAGAGTGTGAGAATTTGAAATCTATTTGAAGAAACTATGGAAAACTTCCCTAACCTGGTGAAGGGCTTAGAAATACAAGCCCAGGAAGTGCAGGGAGTCCCAAATAAGATGAGCCCAAAGAGGTTGACACTAAGACACATCATAATTAGAATGTCAGAGGTTAAAGACAAGGAGAATCTTAAAAGCAGCAGGGAGAAAAAAGTTAGTTACCTACAAGGGAGCGTCCATAAGACCATCAGCTGATTTCTCAACAGAAACCTTGCAGGCCAGAAGGGATTGAAACAAAATATTCAAAGTGAAAAGTAAGGGCCTACAACCAAGATTACTTGACCCAGCAAGGCTATCATTTAGAATCAAAGCACACATAAAGCTTCCCTGACAAAAAAAATCTAAAGGAGTTCATCACCACCAAACCAGTATTATAAGAAATGTTAGAGGGGTTTCTTTAAGAAGAAGAAAACAGTGAAGATAAAAAATATGAATAAAATGGCAATAATTACATATCTACCAATAATTACTTTAAGTGTAAATACATTAAATGTTACAATCAAAAGATAGAGTGGCTTGAATTCTTATTAATATGCTGCCTACAAGAGATTCACTTCAGTTCCAAAGTCACACACAGACTGAAAGTAGAGAAATGGGAAAAAGATGTTTCATAAAAATGGAAACAAACAAACAAAAAAGCTGAGGTAGCAATACTTATACTAGACAAAATAGACATTAAAACAAAGGCTATAACAAGAGACAAACAAGGACCTAGGAATCCCACTTTTGGGTATTTACCCAAAGAAATCCAAATTCTACTTTGAGAGGACATGTGCATCTGTATGTTCATTGTAGCATTGTTTACAATGGCCAAAATGTGGAGGCAGCATGGGTGTCCATCGATGGATGAATGGATAAAGAATAGGTGGTACATGTATACAATGGACTATTGCTCAGCCATGGAAGGGAATGGGTTATTGCCATCTGTGGCAGCATGGATGGACCTGGAGGGTATTGTGCTGAGTGGGTGTCAAACAGAGAAAGGCATGCAATCTGATTTCAAAGCTTATATATGGACTCCAAAGAACAAACTAAACAAACAAAACAGAAACAAACTCTTAGACACAGAGAACATTTTGATGGGAAGGCTTTAGGGGTGAGTGAGAAAGGGGAAAGGATAAAGTACAAATTGGTTGTTACTCATATACAGCAGTCATGTGGATGTAGGGTACAGCATAAGGAATACAGTCAATAATATAATAATAACTATGTATGGTGTCAGATGGGTACTAGATTTATCAGGGTGATAGATGGCGGGGGGTTGGGGGATGGGGTGAAAAAGGCGAAGGCAGTAAGAAGTACAGATTGGTAGTTACAAAATAATCATGATGAGGTAAAGTAAAGCATAGAGAATATAGTTGATAATTTGGTAATAGGTATGCATAGTGCCAGGTGGATACTAGACTAGTGAAGGGGGTCACTTCTTAACTTATATAAATATCTAACCAC